GTGGGCTACCAATATTCTATCAGCATGGTGGATTTAAAGGACTCAAACAAAGACTTAACAGAAGTGATTACTTTTTTGAGATAACAAGACTGAGATAACAAGACTCAAAACACACCATTGCGCTACTACCGGTATCATTCAGTCAAAGGCCGAGAAATGAAAGCCATCCCGCACTCCATACTCTGCAATGAGGGATGGCTTTCTATTCTCAACCGAAGACTGTCGGCTTGATAAAGTGCGATAGAGGTGCGGCTGATACTCCTCTTCGATCGTTCGATCGTTCGATCGTTCGATCACACCTCTACTATCGGCCGATACTCCTCTTCGATCGTTCGATCGGTTGCACCTCTACTATCGGTTGCACCTCTACTATCGGCCGATACTCCTCTTGGATCGTTCGATCGCACCTCTACTCTATCAGCTCTGTCGCGATGCTCTGATAGTGAGGCTGTGCAATGAGGGTGCTGTTCTTTTTTTAAAGTGCTGTTCTTAAAGAGTTCTTAAAGAGGCTTTAGTCGTTACGCTCACTCACCGACTAACCAGCCTCCCGTTAGTCGGTGAACCAACCTTGTGACTAAAGGCTTTAGTCCTTTGGACGTTTAGTCCCTTGGGTAGACACCACCCCAAGAGACTAAACTATCGACTAAACCATGAAATATGGCTTAGTCGCTACTTTAGTCCCTCCGGTAGAGAGCGGCCTAAGGTCCTGACTGGAATTGTTACCACCCAGACAACACTACTGTATCCATATCTTGTGCAAACACTCAAACCAAATTCAAAGACTCAAACCAAAAAACTAAGAAATGACGGAGTCACACATATGCTAGGCAGCGCAGCAGCAAAAGAATCTTAACCCTAAAAAAAATCTGTTCACCACATTCTCCACCACCTTAATGTTTTACGTACTTTCACACCGTTAGCTTCAACGCAAACAGAACTAGACGTTATACTTCAGACCCACACGGGGGTAAGCTATGAAATTCTTGGATCTCCTTCAAGCTTACTCACTCGGCTCCGAGTGTGACTTCCCCTGGTAATTTTAAAATTTGTGAGGGAAACTAGCTAGCACAGTATGCGGGCGTCCAGCGTGGTGACTACCGGTAGTAATTTACTACGACTGTAGCGACCGGCAGGAAGTTGCGAATGGTTCGTCCAATTACATCGTAGCCGTCATCGTGAAAACCTGAGGACAATCGTGGAAGATCATGGACTGCTTTTGACCTATCATTGGACTAGTATTGGACAATCGTTGGACAATCGACTAGGCAAATTCATGAATAATTAGGACAATTGTTGGAATATTGAAGGACAATCCTGGGCAGCTCCCAGGAAGAGCTTTGGACAATCGAGTCCAATTGAGGACGATGGAGGATTACCAAGCCAAAGATGGCCAATCCATTCGCAACTTCCAGGTTCCACCTTTTACCAGCATTTGAGGGGTTATTTAGTCATGGATACCGTACGATGTACCAGTGAGGTTCCAGGCTTTTCCCAGAAGCTTGTTCAGTGGGTTCATAACCCAATTCGCGAAGATCGAGATCCTCGCCATGGCATTCTCAATTCTTCAACGTTATCGATTGGGCATCACTACTAGCTAGTACTACTTGACATCCCCACAACCAAGAGATGGAAGAAGAGGGCGGAAAGAGAGGTTTAGACTGCTCTTTGGGTAGTGCACTACCCGAGCAGCAAAAGCGAGCAAAGTCTCCAATGGAGCCACCCAAGAAAGAATCTGCACATGATTTCCTGAACCAAACAGATCTTTGGGTCAAGCAAATCCTTCCCTTTCTTGGCATGGGCCATTTTGCTTTTGTTGCCCCAGTCAGCCACAAAATGAAACATCTCTATCTTGCTTATTGCAATACTGTGGAAAATCCGCCAAAGATCCTTGTTCTTAGACGATGGCTCTCAGCAGCCCCAAACTGCACTTTCCACACGGCTTTTCTCTCCAATGTCTCATGTGCCGAGTATTGGTATGCCCACAGAAGCATTGGCTCTGGTCAGTTCAGCGTTGGTTGTGATATAGTCTGTTCTGCAGCTGCCAAAGTGGGTAGCCTTCGAGTGATTCAATGGGCCCGAAGTAAGGGATACGAGTGGAATCGATGGACTTGCCACAAAGCTGCCGAATACGGTCACCTTCAAGTGCTCAAATATGCCCATGAAAATGGCTGCCCATGGCATCAAATGACATGCCACAATGCTGCTGAAAATGGCCACTTGGAATGTCTCAAATATGCCCATGAAAATGGCTGTCCATGGGATAAAATCACTTGCCAACTTGCTGCCAAGAATGGCCACTTGGAATGTCTCAAATATGCCCATGAAAATGGATGTCCATGGGACCAAAGAACTTGCCGAAAAGCCGCAGAGAATGGACATTTAGAATGTCTCAAATATGCCCATGAAAATTGGTGTACGTGGAATATCAATACATGCCACGTTGCTGCTCAGAATGGCCATTTGGAAAGCCTGAAATATGCACATGAGAGTGGCTGTCCATGGGACGGAATCACTTGCCAACTTGCTGCAGAAGTCAGTTGGAATGTATCAAATATGCCCATGAAAATCGTTGTCCATGGAATAGCAATACATGCGGCTATGCTGCTCAGAATGGCATTTGGATGTGCAAAATATGCCCATGATAATGTGTGTGGAAGCATGAACATGCCACCTTGCCTGAATGGCCATTTGGAATGTCTCAAGTATGCCCATGAAGAGGGCTGTCCATGGGATGAACGTACTTGCTCCTCTGCTGCCGGACATGGTCATTTGGAAATTCTGAAATATGCCCATAAAAATGGGTGTCCTTGGGACAAAACTACCTCCAGTGGGGCTGCCTACCATGGCCATTTGGATATCCTAATATATGCCAGTGAAAACAGCTGTCCATGGGATGAAGGCACCTGTAGCAATGCAGCCAAAAAAGGTCACTTAGATTGTCTGAAGCATGCACATGAGCATGGATGTGGGTGGGATGCAAGCACATGTGTTGAAGCTGCTGTGTATGGCCATTTGGTCTGCCTCAAGTATGCCCATGAAAATGGATGCCCATGGGATGAAGATGTGTCTTTCTTTGCAGCTCAAAAAGGCCATTTGGAATGCCTCAAATATGCCCATGAAAATGGCTGTCCATGGGAGGTAGATGCTTTGCTGGAGGATGGCACTTCAGAGGTTAAGGCTTGGGTTCAACACACCATATCTCAGCAGAATGAGTGAATTTCCTGTAGTTGAAGTTACTAGCTAGAAGTACCATTAGTTGCTTCAAGGCTGAGGGGTTTGTCTCCCGAAGCATACCCCCAGTACGCTGTGATAGTTCCCATAGGCTGCATTGTCTACTGTAGAAAATTTTGGTACGAGTTGCAAGAGAAGGCAATGCTGATGACATCTTGTGTAGCTAATCAGGCATCAGATTTAAAGATACATGTACAGTCGTTTTATATGAAAAGTGGCATTGGTTAGTAGTACGAAGGTGGAGTTGCAGCCAGTTCAGCTCCTACACTTTGGATGGGACATTCTTCAAAAGATACCCAAGCCCAATGTTTCCGTGGCAAGGTTGTGCCGTTCTTCTTAGGATCTGCCTTGCGGTAGCTCGAGTACGGGTTTCCAAGAGCAACGTGGGAGCATTCCTGATAGCCCTGAAAGCAATTGGAGTCGACCCATCTCTTGGGCCACGAGCTCTGTTGCCAAGACTGCAATATCGGCCTCCCAGTAAGATTCATACGGCGGCGCCTTTGACAATCTTCCATTCGGGAGGATGGGTTGCAAGAGTCTTTTGCCGCCACCGCAAGCGAAGACGTTGGCTCCGAGGAATGTGAAAAGTGACCGAATCGCTCGACCAGGCTTCACTCCCGGCTTGTCGACGCAATCGTCCTTTTTCCATGGAAAGTCCGAGAACTCATTTGTGTGGCGAGCAACGTTCATGGACAACTAACTATTTTCCATGCTCCTGGCCCTGGTCGTGTCTGTCCCAATCCAGCGTCCAGAGTCCAGCGTCCACCGATTGATTCTAATGAAGAGCAGCTTTGAGAGCGCGAAAGATGACGCAGACCACGAACGAGGGCAATTTCCTGCGTCTTTCCTGCATCGTGTCGTATCATGTGAACTCCAAGCCTGGCTCAGATTGACAATGTAGGCTGGACCTACCGGTAACTCCCAGCCGATGGCGCAAACAGTCTTCATTGTCTCGCTCCGTTTACACTGGCGACTACGTGTACCACTGCTTTCTGTGGGATCATTTTTCGGTGCAACGAGCCAAGAACCCCCGCGCCTCCGACATCAATCAAGCTCCACGTACATGTACTCTAAACTCTAAACCCTGCTGAAGCTACCGGTACAGTAGTGTCATTGTACCGGTCCCGCACCGTACCGGTAGGAGCTACGTAGCCACAGGTAGTACAGCATGTACGTACATGCATGCATGCATGCAGTACTTGTTCTGAACGGGTAGCCTCGTCATTGGCTTTTCGGAACTGGCCTGATCGGTGGGCTACTAAATGTAACTCCATCTCGAACCATCGGCTCTCGTTTGTTACTCGCCGTCCATTTCCGCCACGAAAAAAGAGTTTAAGAACCTGATTACCTGTTGCCACAGGAACCAGTGACGAAACCACAATTCAGGATGGAGCAAGACAATGGAAAGAGAGGCTTAGACTGCTTCTCTTTGGCATCACAAGAGCAGCAGAAGCGAGCAAAACATGCCATTGACGTATCCACGAAAGATGCTTCAGACGCACTTTCCAATCTCTTTCAGCACCACCAGTCCAGCAGATGCAATAGCAAATCAGAAGCAGCTCAGCTACTCAAGAATGTCTTGGCCTTACGGGAACAGCTGGATGAAATTGTCGACGAGGCAACCATCAATCTCAAGCTTGCCCCAGAAGAATCCTGTTTGCAGCATGACGATATTTGGGTCAAGCAAATTCTGCCATTCCTTGGGATGGGGCAATATGCCTTTGTTGCCCCAGTCTGCCACAAACTGAAA